AATTGATGTATGTATGGACTGTGATAAGAGTTGTATGAGCTCCTAATAAAACGATTAAAAAATATATTGAAGGAATTTCATTGTCTTTTAATTTGATTTTCCTCAAAGTTTCTAAATCCCCGTGTAAAATTGGAATCTAGAATAGATAAAGAAGAAGAAAATGACAAGAATAGGTGTAACATGAGCACATGTCCTTCACACAGGGAAAGCAGTTTGCAGTTACACTTAGGGAAATGTCAGCCTCGGTAGTAATCCGAAGAAACCAGAATGCAATACCACTTTAGACCCATCACACTGGGGCCTGTTATAGGCGGACCTTGTTACTGACAGATTTCCGAGTAGTGGGAATTCATTCTGCTGGTGGTAGTATAATTGCCATAGCCACTTCGGAGAGCAGTTTGGTAATATCTCATATGTCATCATGCTGCTAATGCCTCTATCCTGTGACCCAGCAATTTCTTTCTTTTTTTAAATAATTTTATTGGGGGCTCGTACAATTCTTATCACAATCCATACACACTTCCATGGTGTCAAGTACATTTGTCACACAGCAATTTCATGCATACTGTAGATGTTATGGCTTAGATTGATTCATTTTAGAGAGCAGAACTTAAATGAGTAAGTAGATTAAGAAAATGTATACACACTCAGTCCTACTTCCTGGAGATCTCCACACACAATGTCTGCTTATTATGTACTCTGCTCTGTGCCAGGTGTGGGGAAGCTGAGAGACCAGTGCCTTATGAAGCTTTGGTAGTAATGGTGGGAATGGGTATGTTCTTTGTTCACTAGAAGATATGTATAAGAATATCAATGGAAGCTTCTAGCAATAAATGAAAATCAACCAAGTATACATCATCAGGGGAAGTGGAGAAGCAAATTGAACATTTATGCAATGCAATCTTTTTTTTTTTTTGAAGGAGAGGAAGTTTATTCTGCGCTTCCCGAGCGAGATTCCGCCATGCAATCTTACACCACAGTTTAAATAAATGAGTTTGGGATGTATCTAAAGTCATAATGTTGAGGGAGATGATAGAATGAGGGGTAGAGTTGATACCTTTGATACAAAGTTTACAAACGTGTAATAATGTGTCAAGTCATGCTTGGGACTGGTAAACAGCAAAGTCAGGTTAGTTGTTACCATGGAGGAGGGAGAGGAATAAAATCAGAAACAAGTGTGTTGGGTCTTAACCTTATTAAAAATGTCTTTCTAAAGTAAGATTTCAAGCAAATAGAGGAACGTGTAGGCTTTGATGTGGTTATGTGATAGGTGCATGGTTTTCTGTGCCCCTCAAATACTTTATGAAGCAGTTCTGAAATGAGGCACGCATTTTGGGGGTCCTGAACCTTCTGTCCCTGTCGTCAGGCAGAGGCTCGGAGAGGAGCCATGCAGCTTTGGTCTTCAGAGAGAGGGTGGGGGTTCAGAGAGAGGGTGGGGGCTGAGAGAGCCCGTCAAGCTTGTCATCCGTGTCAGCTAGGACACCTCTATTCCTCTGCTTTGTTTGTTGTTGTATCGGTGGTGCATCTTGTTTGGAGATTTTTTTTTTTAATTGAAAGTCTAAACATACTATTGTAGAGACGACTATGTTTGGAAGGTTAGTATATTGAAACTATAGCTCTTACCAGTCTTATTATCATTATTATTAATATCTAAAATGATTGTGGGTCCCCTTGATGGTACAAAAGGTTAACATGCTTGGCTCATAACCAAAAAGGCTGCAGGTTTGAGTATCTGCTTCTTACAAATCAGCCCTTGAAAACCCTAAAGGGCACAGTTCAACTGGGAGCCATGTGGGCTGCCATGAGTCAGAATTGATCATAAGCATGTAATTACTCCATGTGCCTATGAGCTTTACCCCAATAGTAGGTGACTGTAGATTTTTATAGTCACTATAGTTTAGCGACTGCTAGATTTTTACTATCAATTACTCATCTCAATAATAAAATATTTTTTACCTTATGTTTTTGAATTTGAATTACTCTATAATTGTAATTAAAAATACTTTCTTTCCTTTGTATGTTTTTTTTATCTGTAGTATGAAATTAATCTTTTGGAACTGATTCAAAGAAGAAGAACAGTAAGTAGAAGATTTTTTTTGGAAGTTGGGGAAAAACACAGAATTAAGCCCTGTATCTAGGGTAGGGAACCTTTTTTCCTGCCATGGACATTGGATATTTATGACATCATTCAAGGGCCATACTAGTCAAACATTTAAGTAACTCACCCCTAATGTGATGGCTAAGACGTCCTGGTGGCGTGGTGGTTACATGTGGGGCTGCTAACCACAGAGTCAGCAGTTTGAAACCACTCCTCAGGAGAAAGATGAGGGTTTCTACTCCCGAAAGGAGTTCAAGTCTTGGAAACCCACAGCGGCAGTTCTGCTCTGTCCTAGAGGGTCACTATGAGTCACTGTGGACTTGATGGCAGTGAGTTTTTTGGTGACGTGATGCCTGCAACGGCTTATCTTTGGCGAGGCGGGTGATGTTAGCTGGCATCGATGATTTTGAAGGCCTCATGTGACTGGACGTTCCCCACCCCTGCTCGATAGCCAGAACTCAGGAGGCACTTGACCTTAATCACTTAGGTGTCAATGCAATGCCTGTATCGACTGTGATTACGTGCTTCTCCCATTAGTGCTGCCTAGTGATTAGACAGGGTTGTTGCTTTGGAAAATATGATCAAACTGAGACTTTTTAAAAACGGACTCCTTTTAGCGCATCAGGTACTCATTTAAGAAGGATGAGATTGAGAACTCCATTGTGCAGCGCGTGCAAGGTGTTTTCCGGCGTGCTTCAGCAAAGTGGAAGGTAAGCGGTCAGCGTGCCGTGAGTGTAAGAGACGTGACAGCCATGTGACTTACGTATTCAAGTGCCTTGTTCTGAGGTCTTTCTTGGGCATCTCAATTCTTATCCCAGCGATGAAAGCATTGTTTGAACCCGTTAACTGGCCAGGAAGGATATTGGTCCCACTACCTTATACTTGTTCTGTAAAGAGAGTGTGATTTGATGCATAATTGAGAATGAGAAAATTGTCTGGGAGATGCTTAGGTACTAAGTAAAGTATATTGAAGAAGCACATTGCAGTTTGGGAGGGTGAAATAAAATGGTTAGGGTAGGGACAGCTCAGTAGTCTGAATCTGTTCAAGTTTTAGCTGGTCATATCATATGAAGTGTTTGTATGTGCTTTGGATTCCTGGGGATGCCAACATTTATGTTTTACCCCTCATTGAGACTATTAAAAGCTTTGTTGAGCAAATTGGATACCTGTGAGTGTGGTGGGAGGATATCGGGCCTGGATTGAGTGATCATGGGTAAGGACTCCGCAGACTCATGTGGTAATAAGTTAGGTTTTCTTAGATCTGCCTTGGTTTTTACAAAATTAATACATTACTGCCTTGCTTTTCCGGTAGGATGATGTTCAACTGTGGCTGTCCTATGTAGTCTTTTGTAAGAAGTGGGTGAGTATTGAGAGCCATGTCTCGCTCCCTCTTACTTTCTTTCCCTTAGTCTGCCTTTTAAGCCTCATCCTCAATTAGCTGAATGCCACATTTTCTCCAAAGTTGTTGTGATAACAACTGGCTTTCTTCAAAGGTGCACAAATAAAAAAGAATCCAAGAAGGTTTAACATCACTATAATAGCATTTGTATATTGGAATTAGTTTTATAAATGAATTTCATGTCAGTTGAAAGTGAATGTCATGTGTATGTATGTTTGGTGGTTAAAGGCGAAGAAAACTGTGATCGTGTCTGTATTGGTTGCTGTGCCGCGAGCAGTACCTGCTCACCCCACTGGCTTTTATCATTGATGACATACAGCACAGATGGTCAGAGATTCACTGAGGAGGAAGTAACCTGCTTTCTTCCTCTTTTACAGACTGCCAAATTTCAACTTAGCAAGGTCTTCTCTGCCATGTTGGCCATTCATTCAAACAAGCCAGGTATGGTGAGACCATCATCTTTTAAAAACTCTTTAGCTCCCTTGTGGCGTAGTGGTTATGCTTTCGGCTACGATCACAAGGTCTGCAGTTCAAAACCACCTGCTGCTCCATGGGCTAAAAAACGGCGCTTTCTACTTCCATAAAGAATCCCAGTCTCTGACCCTCACAGGGCAATTGTGTCCGGTAGGGTCGCTGTGAGTTGTCATTGACCCGATGGTGCTGAGTTTGGTGTTGTTGTTTTAGAGTTAACCATTTTGGACATTATTTTACTTTATAAACTTAAGAGAAATTGTTTTGAAGACTTAAGTGTAGGCAGTTGGCCGCAGCAGTTTTTGTTGCTGAATAGCTTTCTCTAAGTTCATTTCTCTCTCCTGCCTACGAGTTACTGTGCCAGGTGTCTATGGACAAGGGCTGCTGTTTTTAGTTGGTGACAGAAGTCTCTTCAGGAACTGTCTCTGAAGAACTCCATTTGGAGGCAGGCAACATCGGGGTGGGGGGGTTTCGAAAGCTTCGAGGGGGAAACATTAATATTGATCAGTGTCTCTGGCACAGGGTAGATCCTCATGTTTTGTAAGGGAAAGACTTGTTAGTTGTGTTGGACTGGCCCATTCTTTTATAGCGGTGTAGTGCCTGTTCACAGGGTGTAAATATCCAAACCAGATCTCAGACTACGTGAAACTCAGGTAGGCTGTTGGACCCCAGCTGCTTCAGAAGGATGCTGCAGGACAGCAGGTGTGCTTGTTCCGCAGACTCTTAGCAGTTTGGGAGCAGTTCCCTAGGTGTGAAGGGATGGAACCTGAGTGGATGAGGGAGCCATTCTGACTGAGAAGCCCCTGCCTGGGGTCCTAGTGAGAGCCTACCCCAAGTTTCAGGGAAGCTGTCTCTAAGCTCAAAGCCAGGATCTTCTGTCGTTCACAGTTCTCCCAATCCAGATGTAGATTCCAACTAGAGTTCATTTTTGCCATAAGCAATCTTGCTGAATAACATCCCAAGTCACACTCACTGCCAGTGAGTCCATTCTGACCCATAGTGACCCTAACGGACAGGATAAGGATGCCCCTGTGGATTTCTGAACCTGTAATTCTTCACTGGAGTACAAAGCCTCATCTTTCTCCTGAGGAGAAGGTAGTGTTTTTGAACTGCTGACTTCGAGGTTAACAGCTCAACCTGTAACCACTACACCAGGCTCCTCCGGCTGAATAACATAGCTGATCTTTATTTAAAAAAGTAAGGCATTTAAAAAAGTTCCTTGAGTCTTAAAATGGGAGTTTTGGCCTTTTTTTATCTGACTGATTTATATGGGTTGACGTGAAGTCTGATGATTGTCTCCGTTTACAGCTTTGTGGATTATGGCAGCCAAATGGGAAATGGAAGATCGCTTGTCTTCAGAGAGTGCAAGACAGCTGTTTCTTCGCGCCCTGCGCTTTCACCCGGAGTGCCCCAAACTTTATCAGGAAGTGAGTGCGCATGTGCCCGTATACTGAGCTTGTGATGTCTCCGTTCGCTTCTTCTTTTCCCCCCTCAGCTCTTTATTGTGAAATAGGTAGGGGTTTACATATCAGATCATCAATTTTGCATTTATCTTACTCTGAATCTCTGAGAACATTTTGTGGAAAATCTCCTTTTAATTCTGAAGCCCTGGTGGTGTAGTGGTCACACATTGGGCTACTGACCACAAGGTCAGCAGTTTGAAACCGCCTGGCACTGTGTGCGAAAAGACGAGGCTTTCTACTCCTGTGAAGAGTTAGCAGCCTCAGAAACGCAGTGGGGCGGCCCTGTTCTGTCCTTTAGGGCTGCCATGAGTTGGCAGCGACTATGGGGCAGTGGGTGGTTTTGAGTATTAATTCCGTTTTTTGTCACGCACTTTAGAAGTTTCTTCATATATTCCTTTAGAAAGTTTGCCGTGTTAAAGAAGACTTCAGTTTATGGAGACTAGGGATAAGTGTATGAGTGAGCTTCTGGGGACCGGCAGAGTCCAGGAGGAGGAGGAGAAATGCCTTTATATTTTTGGCCACTGGTGTTGATCTTGTACAGCTTTCAGGTTATTAGAGAGATTGTAATCCTCACATGTGTCCACTAGGGAACCAAACCCTTCATTAGTTGTTCAGCCATCTTTATGTTTTCCTATTTGTACGTTTGAAAAAAAACTTCCTCTTCAACTCTTCTTTGCCTTTTTTGTCTCCTTGAGAGTAGGACCCCATTAGTACTTTCTTATCATCTTGGGGTATCTATTCTCTGTTGGAGGATGGGTGCTTTAAAATATTGATGGCCAGGCTCTCGAGAGAAAAACAAAAGGTAATAATGGTGTATTTTTAGAAACTCACCCAATTTTCTATTGCTGTTTAGTCCCCATATGAAACTGCAACCGTGTGTAAGGAAAGGAAAAAAATCATAGGTCTTTATGTCAATAGACTTTGTAGAAGTCCCATCTATATTTTTGGCTTGTGGCAATTAATGGTGCATTTATATTATAGCCTTGTCTTCCTTTCTTTTCAATTTCTGTTAGCACTCCCTTTGTTACCTGTGTTTCTTTTATTGAGAAACTTAAAAGAAGCCAGGAGCCCTGGTGGTATGGTGGTTATGCATTGGGCTTCAGTCCACCAGGTTGGCAGTTCAAAACTACCAGCCTCTCTGTGGGAGAAAGACAGGGCTTTCTACTCGTGGACACAGTTTAAAATCTTGGAAACTCACCGGGGCAGTTCTAGCCTGTCCTATAAGGTCTCTGTGAGTCAACATGGACCCAGTGGGAGTGAGTGTGGTATGGTAGAATAAGAAGCTTATCTATCCCTCCACCCCCCACCCCACCCCAAAATGTCATCTTCCCTGCTTGCTATTACAGGGGTTTATATGCTTCAGGAGGTTTTCATAAATGCTCATATTTGTATACTATATTTTTGAATAGTTCAAGGTGAATAGTTATTAAGACTTAAACAAGACAAAGACACATTGCCCTGTTGAGGGAGACCATTAGCATGAGGTCATAATGGCATCCCCATACTTGTATTTTTAAAAAATGGAAATCTGTTTGTTGCCTATTATCAAAAGTAATTGAAATTTATTATAGACAGAAAAAATTTACATAGAGAAAATAAGCAGGAAAACTACTTAGGGTCTTAATCATCTATATATTTGTGCATAATGTGAGCATTTACAACAATTTTTTTACTTTAAGATGGTATTATACATACTACTTTGCATTTTTATATATACTGTGGTTACATGTTAGTATTTATTGATATGTAACAGTAGTAGCTATACTTTTTGATCTTAGAACCTCATTCCATCTTCGGTATTTCTGAAGATTCAAAGAGCTTTTGTTTATATAGGGTTATGTCTGTTGATTTGTATTGTATTACAAGGTAACACAGGAATTTAAGAATTTTTTTAAAATTTAGGATTCTTATGTATTCATTTAAAAAAAGAAAATATTACAAATAGCATGTTGCCTTGCAGAACCCAAGAGTCTCTAATCCACATGATCTGTTTTCATAGCTACATTCCTTTTTTTAAAAAAAAGACTGTTTTGTATTTATATACTGGAGAAAGTACTGTGGGCTTGTAGGGAACGGGGAGCGTAGTCAGAAAGTGAGAGCGCAGAGAGGGGGCAACAATAGGATGCATTTCGGACAGCAGGAGTCACACTGCATGCATTTTCTTGTAGCACTTGTTCTGGGCACCCTTCTTTTGCAGGAGTGGTGTTAGATTGTTAGATTTCTAGTAAGAGACATACCTCGGTCCTCGGCTTCGCATGAGAAAGAATTCACGCTGAAGCCTGGTTTGTGATCCAAGTGGGTTTTTCATAAAAGATAGACGTTTCAGGCGTTACAGTAAACTGAACACATGTAAGAAAGAGTCCCCCCCATCTCAGTTGAGAGTTGTGGTTGACGTTCTTGGCTGAATTAAGCCCACTTGGCCTGGAGGGGGTTCCCACCCAGGTGTACTGACTTCCTGTTTAAAAAACCTGAATGTGAGCATGCCCTCTAGCCTTAAGCAGCTTCCAACTTCCTGTAAGGGGGAGGGAGGCTTTGACTTGTAGAGGGACAACCCCTAGTTTTGCCTTTAGCTACCTAACAGTGGTTGTGTTATAGATACAATTCTGTAGCCGGCTTTTAAAACAAGGGTAAAATAAGAGGATGGTCATGAGCCATAACCAAGCAATGATAACTGTTTTATTCATATACCAACAATCATTTCCTCTCATTGGACATTTCGTTTCTAATATTTGCACTTACACTTTTATTTATGAATTTTTTGTTAGGCATTGAACAGCATTT